AACTGAAAGAAACCTATTAAGTGGCCTGAAGCAAAACCATGTCATCTGATGGCAAAGTAAGGACTTGATTTGATACAGACTGAAAAGTTTGGAGAAAAAGAAAGTAAAGACACTTGAGACATAGATGGTGGACATGTTTATTATCCAGTCACATCTCTCTGTAACAGTCGATCTGCATTGAAATGAATACTCTCCCATGCACAGTTGCCTATGTACAAGCTGTTTGTTCTGGCAGGACAGCAGTGGGCAGAGTACATAGACACTGAAAGCAATACAAGTGTAGGCAACTTCTAGCTACTGTAGATCCACACCTACCATTAACTTTGGCTGATGGTAGGCTGTTCCCAAAGGCTGTGAGTGGGCCTATAACCCATGATTCATCACATTCACATAGTTTGATTCTTTTTATCACAATTATTAACAAGCCGGTGACACTAATGCATCACCTTTGGCATGGAGCAGTGTTTTCCAACTCAGGTCCTAAAGCCAGATGGAAGATCCTATTTGCAGATTTCAATGTAGGAGCACAGGTGTGCTGATTACTAGGGATGCACCGATACTAGCATCTATATCGGTGCCGATACCGAGTATTTGGGCCAGTACTCGTACTCGCCCAAATGCTCCGATGCCTAGCTCGAGTACTTCCTGTATCAGGAAGCCGGGCAGCGCGTTATTACACGGCGCCCGGTTTCCTGATTGGCCAGGAAGCGGCTCAATGCTCTCTCGTCATTTGTGATGAGAGAGCATGGAGCCGACTTCCCGGCCAATCAGGAAGCCGGGCGCCGTGTAATGAATTCTGATTGGTCGGGAAGCTGGCTTCATGCTCCCTCGTCCTCTCATGACGAGGGAGCATGGAGCCGGCCTCCTGGTCAATCAGAAAGCAGGGCAACGCGTCATTACACGGCGCCCGGCTTCCTGATTGGCCGGCCATATCAGGTACCGGAGGAAGGCCGCGTTCTGGCTGAAGAGGCCCCGGGTGACAGGCTAGACATACCAAGGTAAGAGGGGACTTTCTTGTTAAATCGGGAAGCCGTGTGGCGAATCCTTACAGGCTGCCCGGCTTATCAGGAAGCCAGGTGGCGAGTCATTACACGCCACCTGGCTTCCTGAATGGGACTTCCGTTACTCGGTAATTGATATCGGCGAGTACAGAAAAAACATGCATCGATACTCGCATTCTGTACCAAAATACCGGTATCGGTGCATCCCTACTGATTACCAACAATCCGAATCGGATCCTATTATCTGACCTGAAAAATAAACACTTCTAAGGATAGTCTGGAAGAAAGGACAGCCCTGTATTCATGGAGCACATCTACTCCTTATGCAAGATTGGAACTTATTTTTTTTTATATATATAAACTATGTCAGGCCTTTTTTATCAAGGTGCCCGAGGGAAAAATGCCAGCCAGGACAGAAAGGGGCCAATTTATAAATCTTCTGTCCAGCCATATGCTGGGTGAATGCCATTCACACAGCATTATGGCCACTAGATGGATTATAGGAATTCCCTATGCTCCTCAGTCCATCTAGTGGAAGGAATACAGTGCAAACACCATTCACACAGCATATAGCTGGGCCGAAGAATCACAAATCGGCCCCTTAGTGTCGCCCGTAATGACAATCGAGTTTTACTTTCATTCGTGGAAGCGCTGGCTGTAGATCTAAACAAGTTGTTAGCAAGCTACAGCACTGACAATAACTTATTAAAAGTGAACCTGTCCAAAATTCAAACTAAGCACATGATGAAATACATCCTAAGGTAATGTCCTGTAAAAGCCATAATTAATCATGTTCTGGTTTGCCGCTGCCCACTCCTACCTCCTGGTACTCCTTTATGATCCTTTGTGATAAATAATATCACGGATCATCTAAGATGGCTTACAAAGCAGGAGGGATCAAGGCTAAGCGGTTCCCTTTGACATGGACCTTTCACTATAAGTAACCTCTAACTGCATTTTTCACTATAATCTCCTTTTGAATTTTACGGGTTTATGATTTCACTTTAAAAATACAGGCAGCGCTCCCATTAGGAGCCAGACTACCAGCCTGCGGATGAAGGGAGCTTTGAGTACAGCTGTCACAAAAAAAAAAAAAACTGCTGTTGAATACAAAGTAGAGATACCCCTGTGTGTCTACACTTTATATTAGGGATGCACAGATACCGTTTTTTCAGTACCGATATTTTGCTTTTGGTACTCGCCGATACTAGTTCTTCCGCTGGCATGGGGCCGGTTTCCGGGGCAATCAGGAAGCCGAGCAGCAGGAAATGACATGCCGTCTGCTTCCTGATTGCCTGGGAAGCCGCCTCCATGTTGTTTAGCCGGGAAACCGGCTTCCCGGCCAATCTTCAAGGAACCAGCTGTTCGGCCACCTTGATGCTGATTGGCTGGGAAGCCGGCTTCCTGGTCAATCAGGAAGCCGGGAGGTCGGTCATTACTCCCAGCCCGGGAAGTTGGCCCCATCTTCCCCTACGGCACTGCCGGTCAGGGGAATTCTTCCTCTGACCGGAAGTTCCGGCATCGGGGAAGGTATCGGAGTATTAGGACAAGTACGAGTACTCGCCCAAATACTCAGTATCGGTGCATCCCTACTTTATACCTGACCTTAGTGATGAGGCTGGCCTTGGTGTGAACTCTGTTTATCTGAATCCGTCCGAGCCCGCTCAAAACTCAGACCACCACCCACTGCCTTCAAACCGAATCAGTTGCAGGTAGCCGCATTCCACACCCCGCAGCTACACATCACAAAGGGGCAGGGCCCCCCCCGCCGCAACTGCTACCACAGACTGGGTCAGGAGTAGAGGGTGGTGGTCAGAGTTTTGAGCGGGCTTAGCCGACCTCAGGCAAACTGAATTCACGAGCCCAACCTTATCTCTAGCCGACATCAGTTTGGGGTGTTTTTTTTTTCCATGAGTGTTGCTTTAAAACAATAAATTAATTTTTGTATATATTTTAATAAAAGATGCAGGTTCTCCTGTCCCAGCAAGTCCTCCAACTGGGTTCTGCACAGGCTCGTCGCAGAAAGTCTGTTGGTCAGCTTTGCATGTATATATATATATATATATGTATAGAAAGGAAGTCCATCAATTGTTGGCCCATGACTATTGTCTTCATGTGCAGACCACCCAGGAGATTTTCTGTGAAGAGGCTGTGTGGTACCCAAAGGCCTGATGGGGAAGATCTCTGTGGATTGTGGTCAATAAGCAGAGGACTTACTAGAGGAGGCGAGACCTGCATTTTAAAGATAACTGTAATTACAGTTATTATTCACTTCAAGAGGGCAACCTGCAGCTTGCTAAATGATTCCTATACACCTTTGCCCTTCAGATTAGTGTTCAGAACTGATCCCTGTGTGATCTAGGCCAAAGAAAACTTGGTTCTGGCTGCTTCATCCTGGCCTATGCTAGCTTCCCAAAGAAGGATTACCAGCCAATGGATTGATAGAATTTAGGAACACCTCACACAAACAGGCCTCAAGAATGAAAGATACAACCATTTCAACTAAATGTTCTTGCTGCCCACAGGAACCGATCACAGTTTTCCTTTTATGTTTCTAGCGCTATGAGTGGCAGCTACCGGCAACAAGAACAGTGCAGAAACTTGTGCATAAGGCTAGGTTCAGATATCGGCGATTGCCGCGCGGCCCCATTGAGATCAATGGGGTTATATCCACGTGGAAAATCGCTGAAAAAAAAAAGGTACAGGTACCTCTTTTTACAACATGCACCGCGTGTTTTTTTTTGGATAGTCACTATCGCAGTGGGAAGCTGCGCGATCGGCCTGGCGCAACTGGAGTACCATTAGAAAATAATGGCACCGATCGGAGGTGGTGTGCGATTCCCTGCACTAGGGGGGAGGGCCCCCCCCGCCGCAACTGCTACCACAGACTGGGTCAGGAGTAGAGGGTGGTGGTCAGAGTTTTGAGCGGGCTTAGCCGACCTCAGGCAAACTGAATTCACGAGCCCAACCTTATCTCTAGCCGACATCAGTTTGGGGTGTTTTTTTTTTCCATGAGTGTTGCTTTAAAACAATAAATTAATTTTTGTATATATTTTAATAAAAGATGCAGGTTCTCCTGTCCCAGCAAGTCCTCCAACTGGGTTCTGCACAGGCTCGTCGCAGAAAGTCTGTTGTTCAGCTTTGCATGTATATATATATATATATATGTATAGAAAGGAAGTCCATCAATTGTTGGCCCATGACTATTGTCTTCATGTGCAGACCACCCAGGAGATTTTCTGTGAAGAGGCTGTGTGGTACCCAAAGGCCTGATGGGGAAGATCTCTGTGGATTGTGGTCAATAAGCAGAGGACTTACTAGAGGAGGCGAGACCTGCATTTTAAAGATAACTGTAATTACAGTTATTATTCACTTCAAGAGGGCAACCTGCAGCTTGCTAAATGATTCCTATACACCTTTGCCCTTCAGATTAGTGTTCAGAACTGATCCCTGTGTGATCTAGGCCAAAGAAAACTTGGTTCTGGCTGCTTCATCCTGGCCTATGCTAGCTTCCCAAAGAAGGATTACCAGCCAATGGATTGATAGAATTTAGGAACACCTCACACAAACAGGCCTCAAGAATGAAAGATACAACCATTTCAACTAAATGTTCTTGCTGCCCACAGGAACCGATCACAGTTTTCCTTTTATGTTTCTAGCGCTATGAGTGGCAGCTACCGGCAACAAGAACAGTGCAGAAACTTGTGCATAAGGCTAGGTTCAGATATCGGCGATTGCCGCGCGGCCCCATTGAGATCAATGGGGTTATATCCACGTGGAAAATCGCTGAAAAAAAAAAGGTACAGGTACCTCTTTTTACAACATGCACCGCGTGTTTTTTTTTGGATAGTCACTATCGCAGTGGGAAGCTGCGCGATCGGCCTGGCGCAACTGGAGTACCATTAGAAAATAATGGCACCGATCGGAGGTGGTGTGCGATTCCCTGCACGATTGCAGCGCTGTCACGGATGGCCCTAGTGTGAACCTAGCCCAGCCTAAGGCTTACTGGTTGAATTTGTAGTGTCCAGTTGGCGGTACAAAACGGAATGCAACGTCTCACATTAGCCAAGGAACCACAGACTCTTCTCCATCTGCCCTGGTTGGAGGTTTCTCCAGAAAATGTCTTGATCACAAGAGGTTGTAGACAGACAGCAGCTACGGATTTATGAGATGCTGACCTTTAAAGCAGTGTTTTGTTGGGTTTCACTTAAACCCCATTGAAAAAAAAAAAATTCTGATTCCACTAAACCATCATAAATAACCTCCCCCTTACATAAAAAAGTCCATAATGCGGTTTGTTCATCTTACTCAGTGTTTAGGGTATTACACCCTTAATTAGTCTTTTGCAGTCTTTATTGTTCTTTCCCCACACCGTGGTAACACTGAAGAGCTGTTGCCTGCTAATCAGAATATGTCTTATGACACTGTTTAATCATTTATAGCCTCCGATAGTCTGTGGTCGGTGACTTTACCACCGGAGTTCCAAGTTTAAAGGGACATGCTTGTGAGATTTTCATGGCTGAGAAGTCCCTTTCGAGAACTGCTGACCACATGGCTGGGACCGCAGTATTCCTGCAGGTTGTGGCGTAAAGTTACAAGGGCCGATCCCAAGCACGCTCGGTTAGGTGCTTGGGCTCCTCCAGGCAGCTGCAACAGTAAAGTGACAACACCAGCCATACCGTCATCCGTGGGTTCTAATGTGATAGGTCCGACTCTGAAGTTGCAGTAGGTATACCCCAACAGCTGAGATAAGAATGGATCAGAGTGACGTAATGAGGCAGGTTGGGGGGTTGATGGGTCGTAGGACTTCACTCTTGGTTTGGAGTGGTGATGGTGGTGATGATGATGATGATGGTGGTGGTGTTGAAGTGATGGTAGGACTTGTCCTCCAGGATGACATCCAACCATCTCCACATCTGGGTGGAAGTAGACAGTCAATTTGGCAAACGGCCTGCTTGCCATTTTGCTCATCTCTTGCAGGTGGCGTCTTTGCTCCCTCCTTACATCTAGCCACTGTTTTATCTTCCAGAGCAGGACACAGGCAGACAAAAATAGGAAAAAACAGCTGAAGAACACAGAGAAGAAGACAAAGAGGTCTATGTGTGCTTGGTCTTGACGGAAGAAAAGCAGGCCTTGTGACTCTCCAGAGCCCATGGTTGAATTGCCCAGAAGCAGAAGATAAAATCGGCTGTTTTTCAACGTATGGAGCTCATGAGGGTAAGTGATGACCACGCGGTCTTTGACACCCCGAACTATTAATACTGTCTGCTGATTGCGAACTGTAATGTATGTAATCAGCCCTTTCGGACGTTCCTCACGAAGCCAACTCAACCTGCCGACAACATGCAATAGGCTACTATTGACTGAAGCGACGGTTAGTGGCTCTGGACCCCCAGGAACATCATTGTCTGCTAACCTGTATACTCTGATAGAGTGAACGCCTGTTAACGGGTCAACATCAATGGCAAAGCTCTCTGCAGACGTAGACACGAATACATCCACACAGCCAAAAGTCACGTCGACAGTGACTCTAATGTCCACGTTGGTGAACTTAGGCTGGACTCCGAAAAAGACACTACGGCCATATGGCAAGTTTTGGATATTAGGCTCATGAAAGCAGTTATTCTGAGATGTTGGGTCGAAGCAGTATTCTTGTTCTACTGTCATGAGTCTGTAACATTGACGGCCATTCACTGGATTACCATGGAAAGAGTCTTTGCATTTTGCACACTGTGAAATAGAAGAAAGACCATTATATTGTGTTTGGTCAATGATGAATATCTCGACTAATTCCTAATATTTCATCAGTAGGAGATCACATAATTTCTAGTTGCATGCTGCTTTGTACAAACAAAGAAAGGTACAAAGTAGGGATGCACCGATATATATATATCGGCCGAAAATTACACTTTTGGCTAAATGCCGAAAGTGCTATTTTCTGGACGATACAGCGGTGCATCCGTTCTTTCTCGCCTTCCCGCTGGGCGCTGCTCTCTGTCCCAGCGGGGAGGAGAGAAATTGTCACAGGCGGCCGGTGAGGAGAGCACTGTGAGCGGCCGGTGTCTCTGCTCCCACACCGCTCAGCCTCCTGTCACAGATTGCTCTGATCGCTGAGTGTTTGTAAATAATTGAGGACATAGTATGCTTACTATATTCTCAATTATGAATGAATGGGAAGTGATCTACCTCCCAGATAGAACACCGGTGTCTCTCCTCCCACACCGCTCAGCCTCCTGTCACAGATCGGGAGAGCAGTGTGGGTGGAGACAGCCAGCGCTGTCACAGGAGGCTGAGCTCCATTCGCTCAGCGTCCTGTGACAGCGTGTCAGGAAGGAGAGCGGTACAAACACTCAGTGATCGCTGAGGGTTTGTAAATAGTTGAGGACAGAGTATGTTAAAGGAGAACTATGGGGTTAAGGCTTTTCGCCATAGTTCTCCTTTGGGTAACGGGAGGACACAAACTAGTGTCCTCCCGTCACCCTAAGCTCAGTATACCGCGAGCTGTAGCTCGCGGTATACTAAGACACCGCAGCTGAAGATGATCCCGACAATTATGTCTGGATCCGCCGAGCTGCGTGACTGACAGCTGGCTCTGCCTATCTAGAGGCAGAGCCAGCTGTACCCGCCGCCTCCCCGGTCCGTTCCGCCAGTCAGCGCTGGCGGATCGGAGCGGGGGGAATCCAGCCCCTCCCCTGTCAGAGAGCGGTGACAGGATCGAGAGGTGAGCGAGTGCCGGTATGTGTTCGCTCACCTCCCGATCTACTGAGCCGACCTGTGAAAAGCACTCGCCTCATAGTTATCCTTTAACTATATCCTCAATTATGAATGAATGGGAAGTGATCTACATCACTTCCTGTTCATTCATGATTGTGGTTATAGTAAACATAATCTGTTCTCATGTTATAAATGAACAGCAACACTCAGTATAGAGGATTCCTGTTCATTTATAACAGAGGCTGCAGAATAAGAGACTGAGGACTCTGCGTTCTCAATCTCTTTTTCTATTTTAAAAGGGAAATATCAGGGATCTGTTTAGACCCCTAATATTTCCCTGAAGCCCCTAAAAGTAAAGTATAAAATAAAAATATTTAATGAAAATAAAATATAAAAAAATGTAAAAGTTTTAAAAAAATTTAATGTTTAAAAATTTGAAAAACTTAGGGAAAAAAAACCAAACATTTTTGATCCCTTTCGGTTTCCTTTCAAAAATGTTCATTTCGGTGCACCTCTAGTACAAAGCACTAAGTGGAAGGTGAAGTAGCCAGTAATAGCCAATTCAGCTTTCACTTTACTGAAGCCAGACTAGTGACCGATTGGTAGGGATGTTGTAGTTTTCTCTTTGCTTATTTTGACTGCGCAAGTCTCATCATGCAAATCGTAGATACCCAAACTGTGTTCTATAGACACCCAAAATGTTTAAATCAGCATCTTTATTTGGCCCCCGAATGAGTCAAATCAGACTGATTGCGTGCCATGCATCACTACGTTTTCTACCGGTCCTTTAACACAAGAAACATAAGCTATACCTGGTATTTGTAGCACTCCTTCTTCTCAGTCTGGGGACTGTTCTGACAATTCTGTGTCTCCGTGTTATTACTACAAGGACAATTTGTGCCATCAAGCTCATTGCAAGTATCAGCATGTCCGTTACACTGACACCTGTGGAGACACAGTAAACGGTTAGAAGAGGGAGAGATATTGATACATAGAAGCAAAGTCATGCATAAAAATAATATTTCAACATGAGAATATTTAGGGCCTGCTTCACACCTTTGCAGTGCAGTGCATTAGGGCAGCTCACGTATCTTAAGTGAATGGCACTGCAGAACTGTGCACGTTACGACAATGCAAAGGTGTGCATCCAGCCTAAGAATACAGTATTCTTGATACATTCCAAGAAAAATATGTACAAAGAGGCTGATATAAGATGTTGTACTTACTATATACACTTTTTTGTAGTCAATTAAGGGTCACAAGAATTTATTTGGGTTAAACGGCCACCTACCGGAGGTTGGAACAATGGCAAAGAAGAAAATCGTATGCCACCCCCCATACAATGCCTCCTCTACCCTGCATGCTTCAGTTTTTTACACAAGCAGTACCAAAGACCAGCAAAAAAACATAGGGGTGTGACCTGTGCCACTCAGTGGACTCCAAGAAAAGATTTTGTGGCAAGTAAAAATTTTTACTTTCCTTCCATTCAGGGACACAGAGATCCAGAAACAGTCAGAACATCCAAAAGCAGTCCAATAGCCACTGATAGACCCAAGAACAGTTTGGGAACCAAGAGGTACCCGTACATTGGTAGGCTGGAATTAAAATATATTGCCACGCAAACTGGTCTAAAAAGCACCACAGAAAGAAAAAAAATTAAGTATAAGCAAGGACCCATCCACCTAAACACCTGAAGGTGTCCCTGGGGTCTAACATAGGAAACTCTGCAAACCTGCCGAACCTTGATCCAGAACACATGCTTCTTCAGCAGAGCAGCAAGGGGCAGGAATCCTAGTCAAACTGCTAAGAACAGTGGTGGCGAACCTTGGCACTCCAGCTGTTTTGGAACTACAAGTCCCATGAGGCATTGCAAGGCTCTGACAGCCAAAGACATAACTCCCAGAGGCAGATGCATGTTGGGATTCGTAGTTTTGGCACAGCTGGAGTGCCAAGGTTCGCCACCACTTGCTAAGAACATTCACTTGATTGGTAACAGGAACGAGGGAGCAATTTAAAGAAACTACGACAATAGGCTGTCAATCAGCCGCAGGAGGACCTATCTCCCAGACATCAGGTCCCACGCAGGCATCTGAAGGTACTTTGTCTCCTCCAAAGGTAACTGGAAGCAGAACCCCACCATGTTCTGCCTGCTGACAATCAAGGGGAGCACAGGGCCACCTAGCAATAGATACTTCCTGCTATACAGGAAATGAAGAGAACCCAGATGCAGAACCCTCATTCTGCTATGTGGAGGCCACCAGTGGAGAACCAGATGGTAATGCTTTGTTTGTTAGGAAGACAGAGAGGTCAAGAGTAGCACATTCAACATCATCCAGTGTAGGAACCAGGCTACTTGACCGTTCATGTGCCCATTGCACTCCTTACCACTGATCCATAGTAATAGGTTGGGTGCATCAGTAGTCGACGGATGGCCACCGTCTGAATAGTATGAGAAATTATGGATACCGACACTCCAAGGTAGAATAACGTCTTTTTATTGACGTTTCATGCAACAATACACTTATTGCAACGTTTCAGGGTCACACAGGATCCCCTTCATCAGGCAGAACAAGTGTTCTGCCTGATGAAGGGGATCCTGTGTGACCCCGAAACGTTGCAAAAAGTGTATTGTTGCATGAAACGTCAATTAAAAAAAAGTTATTCTACCTTGGAGTGCCGGTGTCCATAATTTCTTAGGCTACTTGACCGGCCACAAGAAGAACTCTCAGATCTTCCTAGAGGTGACGTTCCTGCAACATTTAAGTGATGTCCAAAGGAGACCGGTCAGAGTAACAACTCACACAATACCCAAATGATGTGGACACTGCCTGTACCGGGGAACCAGACTGAAGCGGCAGGTATGAGGAAACACTGGCAAGTGAAGTGGCCCAAAAGCATTGGAGGAACCCTATTCACCCCAAGAGACACTTCAACAACTAGAGGGAACAAACCTGAGACCAAAAATATGATGCTTCAGGAGCAGCAGCAGGATAATGGCTGAAAAGCAGGAGACATCCAACGGATGATGTTAGTGCACGATCCCTCATCCTATAACACTACTGCGGTAAACTGGCAGTGATGGAAAATGTAAAAATAGAACCCAACAATGCTAATCGTGAGGTAGCACCTGATGTTTCAGCCAGACCGATTTTACTCACCAAGTAAAAATGCTGACACTGGATCACAACAGGGGATGTGCCATGGCCACTAGACCCAGAAAGCGCTTCATGGCTGACTAACATTACACGAAGATCTGGAAAGCACCACAATGCAGAGCCCAGTGCCCAAAGATCCCATTTCAGGCAGCCACTGCTTGTCCAATTCATCGATTTCGGGTACGGCCTTTAACGCTATTGCCAATAAAAAAAAAATCCCATCTGGATAGCTGCTATGTAGAGAACAGCTATAGCAGCGATGTAGCTTATAATCCAGACATAAGCCACTGAGAAAATACCACAAAGTGGACACTTAGTAAAAAACTGAAGCATGCTGGGCAGATGAGGGGTTGGCAAATCATTTTGTTTGCCAGTGTCCCAACCTACTATAGGTGGGAGTATAACTCAACTGGATCTGACATCACTCACTTGGTGCAGCGTTTGTCCAGCAGGAAGTAGCCAGGCAGACAGCCCTCACACTTGTCTCCGAGACTGTTATTCTGACAGTGCACACAGATAGCTGTGTCCTCCGTAGGGCCCCGAGTCACCCAAGTGGGTATCTAGGGAAAGAAAATCAAGCATTCCATTAATATAACAAATACAGGAAAAAATAACATTGAAGAACTCCCAAAAACGTTCTTAACCCTTGCAGTGGGGCTACCCCCGCACTGCAAGGGTTAAGTGCTAATTTTTTGTCTAGGTGCTAAAAAAAATAAAATAATGTTATACTCACCCGAAGCTCCGAGCCGGCCAGCTCACAGTGCTCCTTCCAGCCCGACTCCTCCTCTGCTGAAGCATTGGGAGTCTTCCTCAGCATCCTCATGCCTATACAGGGTGTATAGACATTAGGGATGTGCCGATACTGAGCATTTGGGTGAGTTCTCGTACTTGGGCAAGTACAAGTATTTGGGCTGCAATCAGTAGGGCGGGGAAAATTGGTTAAATAACAAATGTACCAATGGTACAGTTAACCATTATGCCCCATCCCTTGTCTTCAAATACCAGGGCATTAGTGGGTGAAAGACTAACATTTAACATTTGAACGACAGGGAATAATATCAAGTGCCCAAAGGGGCAGGGCTTAATTTCCACATAGCGGAGAGCTTAAAGAACAAGTCTCACCATAATTTCAAAATGGTTGCGGAATCCCCCAGGGGGCGGGAGGATTCCTGGAGCACAATATATGGGCATTCATACGGAGGAACTACAGCACATGCCTACTTTCACAAGGGCATTCCAATCAGGTCCGCCTGTCAGTTTTTTCAGGCAGGCCGGATCGAAAGCCTGATGTTAGTCTATGGGCAGCCAGATCTAAACGGACACTCATCTGGTTGACCCTCGGCTCTGGCCAGGTCCGAAAAAACAAATGAGAGTTCTAAACAGAGTGACACGTGTCCATTTACATCAGATTCCCCATAGACCAACATGGGTCTGGTAATTTCGACATCCATTCTGATCAGCAGGGGATCTGCGCATGGATCCGCTGTGGATCAGAACTGAAGGCACCCATCTTAAAAGGGGTCTAACCACTGCCCCCTCTCCCCCTCTATAGTAGAAATATTCAACTATAAGTGCGTGTGTGTGAGAGAGAGAGAGAGAGAGAGAGAGAGAGAGAGAGAGAGAGAGAGAGTTTTTTTTTATATATACCACTTCCTCCAA